TTTCATTGTAAAGAAAACCCTTTGAACTACAAAATATGAGTGTAATTCTTTATAAATAACATTATATATTTTTCAATAAATACAATAAATACAAAAAACATAGGCGCTTTTGGAGTTTTAAAACAAATTATTTTTTTGAAATCAGGTTCTATTAATCTTTCAAATAACAGCTTCTAAACAGGAGTTATTACATTATATGTGAAGCGAGTGAAATTGTCTATTTCTGCATCTAAATGTGTCATTGTGAGTTTCCTTTGCAAAAACAGGCTTTATAAAACACATTAACCCCACAATCCTATTTTACTCTGTGCCATAAGCACTTTAATTGATTATTGATTGAATTATGTTTCATTTTTATGTTTTTCTAAGTAGTAATATACAAAATGGCATAAGCGAATTGGACCAAATTTCACATATTGTGTATTCTACAATCAGTTTATTTCTTTCAGGATGCACAAGACTGTCTACATTATTAAATATATCCGGTCTATCACAATCTAAAATAGAATCCATATCCTCCAGCTTTATATAATTCCATTTATGTGCATTCTGTATTGGGATGCAGAAACGTGAAAATGGTCTTGTTTGAAAGAAGAGATCCTAATCTAAAAGATAATAGAGTATATAGATATTTGTGGCTGTTTGCTGCTGACTGAAGCAGTGCTACGAATATAAATATAAATTCGCACAGAGGTGACAAAATTTTACATCGATTCAAATGAATATATGGGCTGATACCATATAAGGAAGGCTATGTAAATGAAGCATAAACATTTTTAACGCGATTTTGGAGAGAGTTTAACTGGTTTAAGGACACTGACAGCAGCTGTAAAATAAGGATCGCAAAGACAGGTATTGTGACAATTTTGTATGTATTTGTCGTTTCAAGAGCAAGAAGAGACAAAACTCAATTCGGTGTTTAAGGGCTGTAGACGTGGCTCTCTGCATGCACACTGTACGCACAGAACAGCGCGCGGGTGCTGAATTAAGCTTTTCATGTATTTTTGTGCTTGTATGTTTAAACTGACGAGGTGTATTTGTTCGTTCAGCACGGGAGGAAGCGAAGAAGAGCTCTGTTTGGTGTTTGCGCGGCTCTCCGTGTGCGCACCGAACTCGGCGCGCGAACTCTGTTGAGTTTTTCCACATCTTGTGTTTGAATGCTTTAAACTGTTTTGAATGTTTAAATTGTCAAGGCTTAAAACACGTGCAATTGATCAGCTTTTGTGGCGACGTGCAGGTCGTCTTTTTATGCTGGCCTCGGGCAGTCGGTTGAAATCGCCAGGGCCCCCCCTCTCTCCGCGCCGCTTCGCTAAAGATATGAGCATCGCCTATTATTGAAAGTAAGAGTGTGCGCTCGAATATGCTCTAGAACCGCTCTTGCAATACTTTGATGTCATACACCGATCAGTCTGCGCTGCGCTGCTTCAAGTTGAACACACCTATTGGGTTTGTGGTGTTGTTGTTGTGCGCGCTAGGGAACGTATATCCGCCATACATCATCCATACGCCATACATCGCTATATCATTGATATCGTGATATGACACTTTTTTTTTTTATCATGTAAAAATGTATACCGGTATTATCGTGGACGGTATGATATGGCACACCCCTAATATATATATATATATACTAGGGCTGTCAGTTTAAGGCGCTAACTTAATTAATTAGTTACGAAAAAATAACGTGATTAAAATATTTTAAAGGGGTCATATGATGTTGCTAAAAAGAACATTATTTTGTATTTGGTGTAATGGAATATGTTTATGCTGTTTAAAGGGGTCATATGATGTGATTTAAATTTTTCCTTTCTCTTTGGAGTGTTACAAGCTAAAAAAAAAAAAAAGCTCAAGCTTTGTACAAAGCTCATCGGTCTGAAAAGCGAGGTGTAGGCTGATTGGCCAGCTATCTAGTGCGTTGTGATTGGAAAAAAAAATAGCCTAGTTCACCCCAAAAAATTTAATTGTCACCATTTACTCAAACCTGAATGACTTACTATTTTTGTGGAACATAAAAGAAGGTATTTTGAAGACTGTTGGTAACTAAGCTCTTTTTGTTACCAATGACTTCCATTGCATGAATAAAAAAATACTGAGATGTTTCTCAAGTAATCTTCTTTTATGTTCCATAGTTTGTTAGACCGTTGTAGCCTAAATGTTTGTGTAATAAATTTTATGTTGAATTAAATAAAATATTTCTTTCTAAAGCTACTGTTTGTAATGTCTACTTAATACTTTCTCATTTAACACAAAAATAGCTTTAAATAATCTTTTGGTGGTATTTTCACAGCCAAATGTAATTTGCAATTAATTAGATTAATTAATCGACACATCATGTAATTCATTAATTAAAATTTTTAATCGAATGACAGCCCTAATATATATATATATATTTCCGTGTCTTTTTCCCGTGTCACTTGAAATGTTTCCGTTTTGAGTCGTTGTTACCAAAGGCGAGACACGTGAGGAAAAAATAAACTTCGGGACGTGCGCTGTCTGTGGAGGTTTGGCCAGGACCGGTTCCAGAATTAAATCAACATATTTTATGTTCCGTCCATTGCCAATCATTGCTATGTCGAGAGTGAATCCCGCATAAATATGCGGATGTCATTACCGAAACTTTGCAGGGTGTAGCCTATGTGTCTGAAAAACGAAAGCTTCATACAAAATATACCCTAGAAAGTGCGCTCCCTTTATCACTAAAAAGCGTCATTCATCTTCGTTCATCACGATCGTACAAAGTTCCGTTATAATCAATTAAGCTCTCTAAACTGCACACTGAATCTCTTATTTATATCGCGTCTGCACTTAGTCATGAGATGATTCACGAGCGTGCAAAACTGCACTTAAAAACTGCGGCGCTTTCAGCAAGGAGTGAATTCTAACAAAACGTTTCTGATTGGCCATTGCCTTCAAGAAATCAACAGATATGTCTGTGATTGGTTACATTGCTCAACGTTGCAAAAACACGTTGAGGATATTTAGCGCTTGGCTAAGCACTCCAGTTGCAGCAGGGCCGACATCAGGGATTCCATGACTAACAATTTTTAGTTAATTGCCCCCCCAATGTCGCCCATGTGTATGTGTGTGTGTATATATATATATATATATATATATATATATAATTTTTAAGCCAGTCGCGCATGTGTGTGTGTGTGTATATATATATATATATATATATATATATATAATTTTTAAGTGCATTTTTAATGTTTGTACAGGTTTTTGATTAGTAGTACTAGTTATTGGATTAAACTCTAAAGGGTCTGCTTTGACAAGTTTGAATAAAATTTTTGCTTGATTATCATGTATAAAAAATATAAGAAGTAACTTAAGCTGCAGTTAATATTCACCTTGACACATCAAAAAGTCAACAAACAAGAAGTCACTGAAAATCATTTTTGTTGTTGTTTATAAAACAGTTAAACATTTATAAATGTGGCTTAAGTTTCTGTCAGTGTTCACGTAAATGTTGGACCTCATCTACATTGCAGTTTTAATACATATTGTCCTCTTCTCTTGCAGTGAAAAAGAAGTTTAAAATACCGGGACACAAGCGCACTGAGAGCTCAGATAGCAAAGTGTCTCTTGGCCCCTTTTCTCTTCTGAGCCGCTCTAAACAAAACATCCAGGAGCAGAATAACCTCTGTATAAACGGCAGCCACGTTTATGCAGAGGAGCAAGAACCTAAAGCTAATTTTGGCTCCACACTCAGTCTGAACATCTCAGGAAAGGGTTCAGTAGAGGATGTTCGTAAATACCACCAACGAAATACGTCCGACATCTCCATCGACTCACTTAAAGGCCTGAGTATCCCCTCATACAAGCCTGAAGTGCAAGACAAAGCTTCTCTTGTCCCACAGCGCCCTCTAGAGGACAGGAGACATGTAGAGGTGGAGGAGAAGGGTAAGAAACCCGAAGGAAGAAGCCTGCAAGAGATGCTGGACCGACAGGAAGAACAAGAGCAAAGGAAGCAGCAAGAACGGGAGAGAAAACAAGAGGAAGAGAGGAAAAGCGGGCTTGAAGAGCAGGAGAGGAAGCGCAAGGAAGAGGAAGAGCTGCAGAGGAAGCGGCGTGAGGAGGAGACGCAGCGAGCCGAGGATCAGCGGCACCAGGAGGAGACCAGAGTAACCGAACGGCTCTCTTCTCTCTTTGGCATTGGAAAGAAGGAGGACAAGAGAGAGGAAGCTATGAATGAACCCAAACGTCTAGATGTGCCGTCCTCTACAAACCCATTTGAAGACATTCCCCTCACCCCGGATACTCCATCCTCTATCCCAGAAGAGAGGCCCACGGACCCACGGAGGGGTGTCAGGACCACCTTCACCCCAACGCCACCCGCCAGTGCTTTCCCCAGCCGCACAGCAAAAGTGTCCGCGGTCAAGCCAAGGTGAGTGCTCATGAGCTTGAATAACTTCCTCCGTCCAAGATTGTATTCCAGTTCTATTTAGGGCTGGAAGATTTATTGCATATTTACTATATTATTAGCACAGATTTTGCTAGCAATGTTGTGATGATTTTAATCCACATTTGATCGACCAATACATTTCCTGTAGAGCGTGGTAGACTAGTTTAACCAGAGTCCTGCACGGGTTTTGTTTGGTAAACCCACAACCACGCTATCTACCAGAACACCTGAGCTGTTTATCCAAAGCAACATTAAAGGGATAATTCATCCCAAAATGAAAATTTACTCACCCTCAGGCCATTCAAGATGTAGGTGAGTTTGTTCTTCAGTAGAACAGTAAATAAGATTTTTAGCTGAAAATGTGGTCCTTGGTGATTTATAAAATGCAAGTCAGTGGCTGCCGTCACTTTCAAAAAAAGCATATTAGGCAAAATTAATACCTATTGCTCCTGACGATATGTTGAGTTCTTATGAAGCGAAACGATCGGTCTGTGCAAGAAACGTAACATTATTTGCTACATTATTACCTGTAATCTATACCTTTCATTTAATTCTGTAGCGAACTTGTTTAAAAACACAAAGGCCGCAATCCAAACCACATCCACATTAAAATAAATCTAAAAACCGATATCAGCAAGGAAGTTTTGGAGGGCTACTGCCAAGCATGGCCATTATGTGTGTCATTATCGCAAGCAGAAGTGAAGTGTATAAAAGGTTTAGGACTACATAAAATAATATGAACAATGAACATCATTTGACATTTAATGGCTATTTAACTCTAAGTACATCTGTGTCTGTTGATTCAGTTGTTGTAATAGCAAATTCAGAAGCAAAAAAAGGGCATTAGAGCTGGTAAGTTTGATTTAATTAAAATAAATATAAGTAGATAAATATTTCCTTAAGGCTGGAATACACTACACGATTTTTGCCCTGATTTTCCACCGATTTACAGTCTGGAGAAGTTGACACTAGATGCCAAAGGTCAGAGCCAGTCTGCAACTTTGAGTTGACTGATTTCATAGAAAATCGCGTAGTGTGTATGATGGTCACAGACACAGATTTTTTTGCTTCAGACTTTGAGACAGTGTGAACACATGGAGACTCATATCTCAGTGTGCAATGGTCTGATTGACTTGAAATTACAGGAGGTATGTAGTAACAAACACATCAATTGGTTAAGACATTAAGTATGATAATACATTATTTTTTTATTTTTATAATCTGAGCTCAAATATGGAAGTGTGCTTAATGGGTACGTGAGCTTAATAGGTGCGTTTACCCTATATATTACCTTGTATTCAAGAAAATGGGAAAAAAAACACCTTAATTATTAGAATTCTTGCATTATACACTACTGTTCAAAAGTTTGGGGTCATTTATATTTATTTAAATAAATTAATACTTTTATTCAGCAAGGATACATTAAATTGTTTAAAAGTGACAGTAAAGACATGTATAATGTTACAGAAGATTTCTATTTCAAATTAATACTGTTCTTTTGAACTTTCTATTTATCAAAGAATCCTTGATAGAAAAAAATACAAGCAACTGTTTTCAGTAAGAAATGTTTCTTGAGCAGCAAATCAGCATATTAGAATGATTTCTGAAGGATCATGTGACACTGAAGACTGGAGTAATGATGCTGAAAATTCAACTACTTTAAAAACTATAATACTGACACCAAACTTTTGAATGATAGTGTATATGAATCTACTTGGGTAACATGACTGTTTGGTTCAAACAGAGGAGCATGTATAATATGTCTATGTATATATGTGAAGCACTCTCTTATTTAAGAGAATTTTATCGAGGAATTGTTTTTAAGCAAAACACTTGAATGTTTTGTCTTTTATGCTACTTTTGATAAAGATGAGACTTTCCTTCAGTTATGTATATATTGGCTATTTCAACCAGCTCTAATGCTTCCCCAGGGAAGTGTCTGAGAAATGAGCTATCCTTGAAATCCAAGTTTGTTGCTTTTCTTTTAAGCATTGTAATTTTAGCATTCTTATTCAGGATGACGCTAAAGAACTAAAGATGTAGAGGTTTGTTAGCTGTATTATATTCAGCATAATTTATCCTTGAAATCCAAGTTTGTTGCTTTTCTTTTAAGCATTGTAATTTTTAGCATTCTTATTCAGGATGACGCTAAAGAACTAAAGATGTAGAGGTTTGTTAGCTGTATTATATTCAGCATAATCCATGCTGAGGCCACATGCTAAATGATAAATCAGGCTGCTCTGTAATGCAGTTAGCATCTTGCCACCTGAGAGCTGAGGAAAACCCAGGCTGAAACTCGATTCCTCTCACCTCTGTCTGCTCCACTGCTCTTAAAGGGGAACTCCTTTATTTAGACAAAGCCCCCTTGTGAAAATTGTTTCAGCAGATAGTTAATAACAGAAGATCTGAAATAAATTTCGCACACTTACAGGTCAAGAGAGTAAGTGCACAAAAATTGCTACATTTTCCACACCGAGGTCATTACTGAAAGTGTTGCACATTCAAACCTCCATTAGCTTTTAGTATTTTCATTCTCGTCTCTCGGCACAACTGTATCCCATTGTAAAAGTGTGGGGGGTGTCTGTCAGGGTGGGATGAGATAATTGTTTTTCTACTAGACATGGGGGTTCAGGTATCGCTGAGTATCATACCCTTGGGTGAAAGTGGAACATGTTGAATCACAGTGATTTTAGTCTGTCTTTAATGTGAAATTTGTCTGGCCATCATTTATTCACTTTTTCAATTGATACCTCTTTGATTCGTAAGTGAACTTACAAATAAACTGCTCTTCTTTCAGTCTTTAGTTGAGTGTTCATAAAGTGACCGAAAATACACAGATTGTGCAGAATTTCACCTGATCCACCTTCTTCAAATACATATTAAATATAGCCTATTGTATAATTACTTTACTTTAGGCATTGTTTTTTTTTTTGTGATCATAAAGTGTACTTGGCATAGGTTTTATTGTATTGAATGATTTGCATTTTGACCTTATGCAACTTACTTAACCTGTTTAGCCGAAGGCATGTGATTGGTTAATGGAGGAAGGAATGTGGACTGGATCGTCAAGTGCTGATCTTCTGGTTTGGAGTGAAACAAGTTGTAAAAGATAATGAGCTTGTAGTCTTCCAGACAGTGACTAAGCGACATTGTCTTAGGAAAAATGTCTGTAGGATTACTTTTTTTGTACTGGGAGTTTTAAGGATTTTAGGAACTTCTGTCTTATGATTAACTAATATGGTGAGTAACTCATTTTCCAAAAGCTGAGAATAGAAAGAGACCAGAATATGGTTTAGTTGTGTTTGTTTGCATAGAACTTTTAGATTCGGAAGTGCAGGGTACATTTTCTTCTATCGAACTGTGTTTAAAGACTTTGAAGAAAGAAAGATTAATAGTTACATATAACAACAACAATATATATATATATATATATATATATATATATCAAGATTTTAGAAAATCCTTAAAGTAACCAAGCAAGATGTGACCTTTTTGATGTAGTTTAATAGTAAGAAATCATTGTTTCTATTATGCGATGAATGTTCAGTTGTACATATAAAGTGTGAATGTCAGGCATTAAGTTAGGATAATATATTTAGGCAGGGGAGTTATGTGCTGTTTGTATTAAATGGGTTTTAGTTGCATGTAATGCCCAGCAGAAATATATTGGAAAACATATTGGATTGTAAGTGCTGTTTTAGCCGTAAGTTGACCATTTTATGTTTTTACTCTTTGACAGATTGGCTTTGAGTGTACTGCCTGAAACCGATAATAGCCATTCCCAATCCCCCTCAGACTCTATAGACACCCAGACCACTTCTCACCTTTCCCCATCCCTCTCTACTGATCCGTTTGAGTCTTTTGGTATGTTTTCTGATCTTCATTCTTCTCTGGCACCTGCTAAACCTCCGAGAACTTTCAGTGAGTTAAGTGAGTCCAGCATGGAAAACCTCTCAGCTCCCAAATCTGACAAGAAGCGAAAGGCTCCTCTACCTCCTGGTAATCTTGGGGGCTCGTCTAAGACTGAAAACCATCCTGATAATGGGGGACAAGCGCATACCCAAAAAGATAGGCCTGTTCTTCCTCTCCCAGACTATGAAACCCTCTATCCTAAGAAGAGGCATGGGGTGATGGGTCAAACACGTTGGGACCATCTTGTTGCAGAGGTAAACCAAAGAAACTGGGATTTCTCGGAAGAAATTAATGTAGATGGACCTGAGAGGCCAGTGCCAAATAAATCTGCGATCTTAAAGGACAGAACCTCTGTGAACCTTAACCAGCACCAAAGAAATCATGAGGCACCTCCCCCTGCCCCCGCAAGGCACAAAGAGGCATTCCTTCCACCCAAAGCTCCTGCGACACCAGAACCATCGGTCGAGACTAATGTCCAATATGGTCATATCAAAGAGTCTTTATATGCCACTGTCAATAAGCCTAGAAACTCTGCTTCCAAGAACTTGGAAAACAATCCACCTCCCGCTGTCCATAGTAGACATGCACCTCAGGAGATGGAAAGGAAGTCTCCGACTCCGGATGCCATTACCCATCAACTCTCCCTGTCAAAAGAGAAGCCTACACCAGCTGCTAGATCCATACAAAATATACATTCAAAGACTGATGATGTGGCTAAAGAGATGCCTTCAGTCATACCCAGGCAACAGTCATTAGTCAAGGACCCAGTCAGACAAGTCCAACCAGACAAGCAGGTAACCAATCAACCCATGACATCAGAAAACAACAAAACTGAGAAACCACACAAGGGCCAGAATGGAAGCATTTCCACAGATGGGTTTGTTGACGTAGACCTCCTCAAAGCTGCTGAAAGTCCAGAAGAACTGCATTTGGGGAAACCGGCTATTGAACCTGAGGGGAAGGGAATGATTGCTCTCGATCCATTCCCAAATGATAACCTGCTATCTAAAGATCCATGGGCTTTACCAGAGCAGACCACCAATGAAGATGACCTGTTCACTAGGGGCCCAAAGCAAATAGGAAATCTTGAAGATCAGACATCAACCTTTGATAAGAAAGATAACAAGCCTGCAAACAAAGGTACAAATGATCCATTCACAAACCTTTCAGAGAAAAGCAAATCACCGAAATCAGAGAGTGGAAAACAATCACCCAGCTTCACTGAACAAGCCAGAGCCTCATTTCAAAGAAATTTTTCGCTTAGAAAGAAAAATTCATCTCGCCAATACTCAACTACTGGAAAAGCTGGTACAGAGAATACAAGTCTGGCTAGATCAGTTTCTCAGTCTTCACAAGATGCCGAAGATGTTGAGCTGACTGTAACCAGTGTTGCTCCACCAAGCAGAACTGATCCCACCGTAGTAACATCTGAATCCCCTATAGGGGGCAAGATGACTCTTCGCGCTTGGGTCTCGCCATCAGAGGCTCAGCCAGTTGCTCTGCAGAATGGTAGTGGAAGTGCAGTTTCTAATTCAAGAAGGTGAGAAAAGTTCTCCCGACCCCTACTAACAACTCCTCTAACAGTCTGTCGTCCCTGTTGTGCTAAACCCATCGGCTTTCAAATCAACAGCTGCTGTTTACCCTGAAACTACCTGAATCAATCTCTGGTCTTGCTAGATTAAAGGGTATGTTTTCTTCAGCATTTGTTCGATTGGTTGCTTAATGGTTGGTTACTCCTTCATGGGATCTTAAGGGTCGGGATTGTGGGCTTGGGGTTTTGCTACTGATTGCTGGTCTTGGTTGTTCAAAATGCCATGGTCTTGAAGGACTTGTGTAAATGGAACAAAGGCAATATCTCAAATAATACAGGGGTTTTGTTATTGTTGGCCATATTAGATTGTCTTCACAATTTTCTGAAACTGGGTCCATATGAGAGGCTGTAGATGTGAGATTTAATGACATACACATTAAAGTTTACATACATTTGATGTATACAAGACTAGTTCCATGTTCAAGGCATGAGTGGTGGGAATGAGTTTGTCCGGAGATCATGTTGTTTTGTGGGATATTTGCATTATACATGATTTTTGATTGCTTTGCCACAAATGTGCTTGTGTTTGGGTTTTTAACATGTTATTTCTCTGCTGTACTCTTATTGATCTTTTGGGTTTGTTGGGAATTGCACATTGGGTGAGTTTGGAATGATTTACTAACACATGTCAAGAACTGCTTACTGCATATTAGAGAGAATATAAAATATGCAACATTTTAAAAACAATTTAAAATACGCTTCATAATATGCTACATTTGTCACATGATGCATGAATTTTATCACTACATCACATGTTTACGTCAGCAAGAGGTGTCTAGTCATGACTAAAATAGAGGTAAAATAAATACAACGTAGATACAACGGTTTGACATTTTTCACTTTAAAATGCCTTCACGTTTTGGCAGTCATCCATCTCTCCTAGTCAAACACGTTGTATTGTGGAATGCAGTATCTGCATATGCATTTTGCTCTGGTTGTATACTGCACCTTTTTCCAAATGTAGATCCAGAAATTTGCATACAGAGTACTGAATTCCTAGTATGAGTTGAATAATAAGGTATGCCTTTCCAAACATACCCATGTGTCCTTAATCGAATACTATCTTCAAGGGCCCTTGTTCACTTGATTTGAGCATTTTTCTAATGGTTTGTTTTATTGTTAAAAGTGTACAGTTCATTGCAGTAATATGTCCGTCTCTCTCCTTTCTCAGGCCTCACCCAGTGAAACCCATGAGCACCGAGAGCCAGTCTTCCAGTGTTATCGCTGTGGGGAAAGACCCGAAGACTATCACCATCAAGGAAATGGCTGAGATGTCAAAGGTACAGTCAATTTTTACTTATTTCCTACTAAGTTTTTTGCACATTGAAGAATTGTCCTAACAAACCATACATCAATGGAAAGCTTATTTATTCAGCTTTCAGATGATGTATAAATCTCAATTTCGAAAAATGAACCCTTATGACTGTTTTTGTGGACCAAGGTCACATTTATGTCTATTCTAATTTTTACATTTTTGTCTACTCCAATCATGCATGCTTATTTCCCCCTATTTTTACATTTAGATTAGATTTACCATCATCTAAGACTCTATCCAAGACCTTTTACATTTTTTAAATATGGTAATAATCTATTAATGCTGAAAAATGGATATTCATTCATATTACAATCAACATACTGTATACTATAATATTGTGATGCCTGCTTAGCATTTAAAAATGTATTTTAGTTTACTTTTAGTGTTTTATTTTCCACTTATGTAGACAACATGGTACAGAACTGTAATATCGGCTCATCCATAGTTCATCCAAAGATCATGAAAAGCATCCATCAAGTGTATCCAGGCTTTTCATTGGTACTGTACACGAGTTGACAACTTTTTTTTCTCTCTTCCTTCATTTCACTGCATATTATCCAGAATGTAGATAGCGGTCCGTACACTCAGCTCACACAGGAGGAACTGATCACACTGGTGGTAAAGCAACAGGCCGAACTCTCCAAAAAAGATGCCAGGATCCTGGAGTTAGAGGACTATATTGATAACCTGCTAGTTCGCGTCATGGAGGAGAAACCAGCCATCCTGCTTTCACTTCAATCCAAGTGTTAGGGTTTAATCCTAACATCTGAATAACCGTGCCCAGATCACTATACTGAGACGCTTCAATATTGTAGGATTTGGCTGATACAGCCAGAAGGATTGTGAAAGCAATATCACATCTCATAATCAGTTGATTTGCTTGAGTATATGTAACGCATGTAGAGTTGTTGGCATATGTGCATTCTGATTTCATCACCAATATCATACAAATAACTTTATTTTTTACAGCGTGGATATGTATAGTATATCAAAGCCTACAAGAATTCTGCAGTCTGTCAGATCACCCTTAACTGGATGCTGGGGTGTTGTTTTTTTTGTTTTGTTGGATCATGGTACAATCTCCTCCTGAGAAGCTCCCCAACAACAAACACATCGTATTTATTGATCATCTTAGTTTTCTGTGCATCTTTCCATTTAAGAGAGGGCTTCTTAATGCATTATTTATTGCAGTCTTAAGCTTGTATTTGAAGATTTTCCTTCTTCCTGAAGTGATTTGTGTTTAGATCCTGACTGCTGCCTTGAGTCTTGATCAGAACGCTTCATTAGTGTTAATGCGGCCTTGTGTCTGTTGGGGCTCAAATCAAGGTAATAATCCTCTTACTTTTTAGAAATGTAGACAATAAGCACTTTTTACTTGAACGGGGTGTTTCATTTATGAAGGATAGTGTTTTTATATTAAGTAATTATCTAAAATACCCTGTAGAATTACCTCTAATGAAGAATTCTTTTTCTTGCCTGTTACGCACACTTCTGCATATGTAAAGCTCTGCTGGTGTTCGAACACTGGGTATAGAATTCATTTTTATTTCCCTGGTCAATATTGACTACATATTTAAATGTTTCTTTTTGTCAGCTGTTGAATCAGCCGAAATAGTTTATGCTACATGTCAAACTGCATGTTTGTTTTATATTGTAGCGATTTTGACCAAGGATTATTAAGCGTTCTTTGAAGCGCAATGTACATACTGTGACATTCTGCGGTTCTGTAACGAACAAGCAATAACTGTCTGCAGGATTTCGTTTCCTGAATGTCAGGTAATCGGTACTTTCGGTGTTGTTGAGAGCTTGTCTGTTGTGAAACCAAAGAGCTGTGATGTAAATCTGAAGTCTTACCCTACAGGACTCAAAACCTACTTCCCATTCCCTGTTCCATTGTTCTTCTTCTCATGTTTTTAATCAGTGAGTAAACATTTTTGTTTAACCACTTAAATGCCTATGGGGAGAGAATGGTCCATCTGACAAGGATGGAGGAATAAACTGTATGTCTTGTATACATTTGCTTGTCATTAATGTTAAGTTGATTCTGTTGTCAGTTTTCTGTGTTGCTGTTATATATTCAGTCATGAGAACCTTCATAAGAGCTTCTGCTGTGTTCATTCAAGTGTTGTCAATCACTCACAGCATTTTCACTGTTATCAGGTTCTGCAGACTCCAAACCACTCCTTTATGTCTGAATTTGAATGAGAAGCCTTATTAATTATTGCTGATGCTATGCATATATGCACAGGATATATTTTCTAGACCTGTGCCTTCTCTTTTTATTCAAGATTTTATGTCATTAAGACATGAATATATTGGTTTGTTCCTTTACTTCCAATACTTGCAGAAATGTCATTTTGATTATGCCTCAATTCATTGAATAAACTTAGCTGAACCCATATAGCATGTGTTCTAATACTGGTAATACTATTGATGATGAACATTTTTTGTTTGTTAATATAATGTTTAAAGAGAAGTAGTTCATACACAAGGCTTCATGGCATTTCTAGTTTAATGTGCATTAATAGGGATAGTTCTAAATTCTGTCCTCATGCTCCAAAACCTGTTTGACTTTCTTTCCACTGTGAAACATAAAAGAAAGTATTTTAAAGAATGTTTCGACAGCCTTTGTCCATTTAATGATTCAACAAAATGACTGCGGGTGAGTAAATGACAGATTTGTATTAGTTTGTTTTATTGATTGATTGATTGTGGTGAACTGTCCCTGTAGGCAAAGTATAATGATTATATTTGTTATTTGTATTTGTATTATTAATGATAATTAATGAAAATATGACTTTGTGCATTTGACAGCCATGACAACAAGTCTTTACCCTATAAAGCCTGAAATAATTATCAGATTTTTTTTATTATTAAATAAAACGGTTTTATTGAAATTTTAGGTTGAAAAAGTAAGATGTTTAATTTCTTGTTCTATGATCAAAGCCCTGTACAGCTTTTGGCGGAGGACAAACTTATTATGCAATGCATGTACAATTAATATACAGTTAGGCATTCCTCTGAAGCTTACTTCTAAAGCTGAAGATGCTCAGTTTTTAACATGACTTTATCCAAAAATATGTATGATTAATGAAGTAAAATTTCCTTCAGTCCAGTAAATGTTTATCTTGAAAAATTACTAGTAGTATAAGAGTTATTCTTACATCTTACTTGCATAAAAATCAGTGAAGATTTAACTGTAACTACAACCTGAAGGGGGTTGTTTTTATAACTGAACTAAAGACTTTTTCTTGCTAAAAGCTAGTCAGACGACAGAAGACCAAAATTTTGATCATAATTTTAAAGGCCTTAGAAATAGGCATATCAAATATGATACAGTAGGGTTAATAGGTATAAGAATGAATTCTCATAAATGGTAGTATGCATGCAGCATGATAATAGTTTGACTGTTGAGTACAGTTTTGTCCAGTAGATGGCAGTAAGATACAGCACACTATGTTCTCTATTACTAGTCAGGCAGCTCAAGAGGATGTCATGGCCCTTCATCATTATATATGCGCTGTGTTGAAATGATACTTGGCTGCTGTTTTAATTGACTTTTATATGCAAACAGTATGAGCTATCATGAGATATCTTTAGCTAATTATATTGCCTTATTTAATGTTTAAAGTTTATGCTGTCTACAATATCTACAGTTGGCTAATTAGTAGCTTGAAACAGAGATAATTAGCAGAAATAAACTGATATTGACTGATTCGTATCATCAGTAAATCCAAGTTCAGTCAAAGTGGAGTTTAATGCATGCATACACACTGACTTAATGAGCAGAGAAGATAGATTTAACGATCCTAGTTCCGTGCTGACATATTTCTGACATTATGTGTGGATATATTGATGTGTCTTTTACATGTGCAGTGCTGTTATGTTTTGTGTGTAATTAAAAATTGTGTAAAACCAAAATGATAGGGGAAAACTTTTTTTTTTTTTAATTACAATTATTCTTGTAGAACCGGTTGCATTCAACCGTTTACTTCAAAACATGGAATGTTCAGGAAGCTGAATATTTTACATTTGGCCTTATTTATATGATCCATTGCTGTGATTTGGTTTTAATATTCAATTCATTTCTTCCTGAAACAACTTCCTGTACTGTAGCTTTAAGTTTTCCAGCACAGTAGGAAGCAGCTCTCAGGGTAATAACCCATGAGGATGAATACATGAGAGCGGCTAACGTGGAGCACTGCTGCTGACCACCTCTGTCTGATACAAAGAAAAAATACACAATAGAAAAACAGTCCACACACAAAAGAGCTGCTTTCATTCCATGTTATTTCAACTCACAATCAGGAATATTCTGATTTACCTGCTCTATCCTGTGTTGTCTATCATCATTCACACATTTTCAGTCAACAATTGCTTAACAATGCTTTCCTTTCAGTTTAATTCATTCAGAGATCTATTGATTTATTTTTTATCTTTATCTTGCTATAGATGAAGAGGTCTTCAACAGGAGGTCTGCACTGGTACTGCAGGGAGTCCACTAATTATTGTTTCTCAGATAAATAATTCACTTTTAAAGTGAATGTGAAGTTATTCTGTAATTCTGTTTGGATAATTCAGCAATATCAAACAAATCAAGACTGCTGTTATGAATACAGTTATTGTGGTATTGTTTGTGGTGCAATTCAATAAACAGGAAGTTAATAATCAGTAACTTACATTTTAGACACATTACTACTATTTTGCTCCGTTAAGGACAATAGTTCCAAATGAAGCAGAACCAACTTTTGCATCTTGCAGTAACAGTTTCATTCCTGAATTTATTGTGTTTGCGCAAATTGGTTGAGTGAATAATTCAATGAATGACTCATAAAGGCAGTCACGTGTTTTGTTGCTAAATGAAAGCAACACACTCTCTCTGCAATTCATAGCTATTTTCCATTTTGGCAAATTGGTGGGTAATTTGTATGAATTTGCATGATCTGCTAATGCCCCATCTCCTTACTTTTAGGTTTAACCTTCATGCTCATGTTTTTTCTTTTTCTAAAAATTCACATCAATCACAATCACATCGTACAAAATCAGCATCTTGTAAATTAGTTACCTTTTCTCATGCGATTGGGGTGAATTAATTAGTTTTTGAATGAATTGGTTGAATTAATGATTCAGTGACTTTTTTATTTCTAGTTTTTTTTTATTTTTTAGCTATAATTATTTTAGTACATTAAGTCAAACTAAATGAAAATGAGAAGCTGGCAACTAGCTGAAGTATAAGTTTGTTTTTTATATTATATTTTATTTCATCTTCAAGTTTTTTATGGTTTTTGTTTGAGTTACAATAACACTGTTATGAACTCATTTTTATTCAGTGTGTAACGGGGTCTCTGCTCCACCTCTTGGCCTAAAAGAAAGTTCGAAGACCCATAAAGACATCCGTTTGGTGTTGTCAATATTATTTCTCCATTTAATAAACCTGGTAGCCTGGCTGACCCTTAACATTAGAAACAAAAGATAAGTTGATACGTCGAGTAATTTTCAGTCCAGATGTAATACTGCCATGGTAGTGTGCCTGCGGACTGAGCAGCATATTCTATTATGTTTGCACAATAGATCTGAGACCTTTGAGCTTAGCCTGGGTCTGCAGCCTGCAGCTTGAGAGATGAAGAGAGGAAAGTGTCTTAGTTACTCATTTGTAGGGTATTGTACAGTTTGTCTTTCACATTTTCTGTCATCCTCCTTGTGAATCACTGGTCTGTTATCGAAGCTGTGTTTGTGTAGTTGCTGTCTTTGATGTATTGGGATGGCAGACCATTGAAGACATGACTATCTATCATAGAAAGACATTTAGTGGAGAGGAGGAAGAAAGAGAAAAACTCTAAAGGATGTACTGAGTTGGTCACCATAGAAACGCTTCCTCCGTTTTATAGGTTTGTCTTTTGTTGTTGTAGCTCATTTTCATTTTGGGCTGTTGTGTTGAGGATATTAACAGGCCCAGACCGTTTCAAAGGTTACTGACTACAGTCACTTTATCTATTCATCAGTTTATCTTCCTACTGTTCACATGCATTGGTGTTCCTTTGAATTAGCGAACGTACTGGTGGAATCTTTAGCACTTTGAATTAAAGTTAGCGGTAACATGATGCCGTTAACTAGATTTTAGTGGTATTTGTTTATGCAAATTTTTATTTTCATGTGTTGACTGACATACTAAAGCATATGTGAAGTAATTGATTATAATTTTATATATAGTATGATGCCGTTAACTAGATTTTAGTGGTATTTGTTTATGCAAATTTTTATTTTCATGTGTTGACTGACATACTAAAGCACATGTGAAGTAATTGATTATAATTTTATATATAGTGTACACTGTAAAAAAAATTTTTTCACCGTATATAGTAGGGGAATTTACCGTTAACCATTTAACAGGTTTTTGCTGTAGCATTTTTACAGTCTTTTACCGTTAAATTCACGGTCATTTGTATATAAAAGATGAACTTAAAGGGATAGTTCACCCAAAAATGACAATTCTGTTATTTATTACTCACCCTCATGTCGTTCATCTTTGGAACACAAATTAAGATATTTCTGATAATTTCCAAGAGCTCTCTGACCCATGGACAGCAAGGATCCTACAACGATCATGGTCCAGAAACGTAGTTTTTACAGAAACCGTAATTTTACGTAAACGTATGCTGTTCTGTGTCAGCAGCTCCACGAGCATTCGTTGTTTACGTTCAGATCAAAGCGTGCGCATACGTCGTGATACTCTCCAAAATGATGCCAGGGTGATGTGGAGGAGATGGATTGTTGAATAAAGTCATTATTTTTTGTTTTCTTTGTGCACAAAAAGTATTCTCATAGTTTCATAAAATTACAGTTGAACCACTGATGTCTTTTATTTTAACGATGGCCTTGCTACGTTTCTGGACGTTGATCGTGTAAGGATCCTTGCTGTCTATGGGAGGGTCAGAGAGCTCTCGGGATTCATTAAAAATATATTAATTTGTGTTCCGAAGATGAACGAAGGTCTTATGGGTTTGGAACGACA